CGAGAGAGACATGGCACTGCTGGAGAGAGTCCAGCGGAGGGCTGCAAAGGTGATGAGGGGCCTGGAGCATGTCTCCTATGAAGGAAGGCTGCGAGAGCTGGTCCTGTTGAGCCTGGAGAAGAGAAGACTGAGAGGGGAATCTCATCAATGTGTACAAGTATCTGAAGGGGGGGTGTCAAGAGGGTGGGGCCAGTCTCTTCTCCGTGGTGCCCAGCGACAGGACAAGAGGCAACGGGCACAAACTGAACCACAGGAAGTTCCGTCTGAACGTGAGGAAAAACTTCTTTCCTGTGAGGGTGAGTGAGCAGTGGAAGAGGTTGCCCAGAGAGGTTGTGGAGTCTCCTTCGCTGGAGATATTCAAAACCTGCCTGGACGTGATCCTGGGCAATGTGCTGTAGATGAGCCTGCTTGAGGAGGGAGGTTGGACTAGATGATCTCCAGGGGTCCCTTCCAACCTCAACTGTTCTGTGATTTTGTAATTGAATCTACTTGAGATGGTGTATCTGCAAAATTAAGTTTTGAAACTGGCTTAACAAAGTCTGATTGAGTTGTCATTGAAAAGAGCAGTCCTCCCTTGGTCCACCTGCTACTCTTTTGTCATTTTTACCTACCTTTTGCTAGTGTCTGCTCTTGTGCTTTGGTGGCTTTGAAATTAGCTGAATTAGCTCATTGATTTCCTTAAAAACTAACCCTGAAGAAAGAAATTCAGGAGGGCTTTAGACAGTAGAATGGGACATAATAGGACTATGTAGTGTAGGGATGAACAGGATTGTCGTATTTAGCAGCCACGTATTCTTAGATTGCCTAAGCCAATTGTGAAACTGCACCATAGTTATTGCCTGAACCTTTTTTAATTTGTATTCAGGCTTTCATACGTATTACTGTAAAGTATTCTTTCTTGGTTTAAAATTACTGGATATTTCCATGAAACCTTCACATTTGTAGAATTGCTTTTCTAAGGCTCTAATTTTGCTTTGCAAATGAAATAAAGTGAATGAAGACTTCAGCAACCAAGCAAGAACTTCCATGAATTATCCAAGAGTGAGAGAGAACATTGCAAAACCTTAAAGTAACCTCTTCACAGAAATGAACAAACAAGCAAACTTCTCTGGAAGCTGTAGAAGTTGCAGTGATCCAGCCTATCTAATCACCCACAAGTTCTCCCTTCTAAGTGCAGCCATATATATTTGATTTATTTTTGATTGGCATAACAATGCAAGAGCCAAATGAATTAAAAATAGAGCTACGTTCTGAACTTTGGTGTTTCATCACATGCCAGAAATCCAAAGTGCTTTTTCATGTTGTTTGAGAGAGCGTTCTATCATCAGCAGTAATAATAATTTCTGAGTAATTAAATTAAACTATCTCTGTGCATCTAAATAAACAAATAGATTGTGGTTCTGTAGAATGTGTGTTTGTGCCAAGTTTTAGACTTTAACAACTGTTAAAATTGTACTGCTTTTAACGTAGAAGCATTCTGCTTCATTTAGTATAAACTCCCAGTGTTTGGGGCAACTTTAAAACTAGATTGCAAGAGAATCTGGAGCGTTGGTAGAGTTTTTTTCTCCAATGTCTTTCAGAAGCCTTCATATAAATGTAATTCTTCATTTACTCCTGATTTTTAACTGTTTCATAATCACGTATTTTAAAGAAAAACGTTACCAGGACATCGTTCTGTTTTACAGTCATTTCTTCAAGGTGCTTCATCAACTGACCAGAATATATGCTGTTGACCAGTGAGAATTGTCATAAAATTTTATACAGAAAAAATGCATAGCTCAGAAGAGAGAAACAGCTTCTTTCATGAGTTGTGTCTCTCTCTATATTTTAAATTGTTGAGAAGTTGATTTTTTGAGTGATTTTTAAAGTGGATGAAAATCTAAACTGTATGTGTAGAGGGAAGAGGTAAATGTTCAGTTGCTTTGAAAGCTGAGAATTTTTGTGGTTGGGAGAATTTGTTTATGTGTGCCAGATGACTTGGAGTTGACAGAGGAGCAAAACTGCAGCTAGTCAGGCGAAGTCGAATTCAAGTGTGAATATTTTAAATCCTTGCTTTTAGGTATAGAAAACTAGTCCACGCTCACACTTGTCTGTGTGTGTGGAAACTTCTGTTCTTAACCAGTGGAGTGAGTACCTGGAGTATTTTGGAGTATTTTTGCAGTGCTACAGCCTTCCCCAGTAACGTAACAGCGATGAGGAGTAATAGCAACGGTGTCTATTGCTGTTCATCAGTAGATCTCAAAGAACTTGGTAGAAAGATTCAGTTCTCTTGCCCCTGGTTCACAGATCTGGAAAATGCGGCCAAGCTGTAATGGTTTGGACAGAAATGGTTCATGAGCATCAGATGGGGGACTTTCTGGTGGAACTTGTATCCAGCTGGAAAATACCAGGTCATGGGAAACTGTGTTTTGCAGAAGCATGTTGCATGTGATGAAAACTTGGTTCAAATAAAGTGGTTTCAAGAACATTTCAGTTTGATGTTTCAAAATGACTGTATTTCAATTTTATTATAAAACATAATAAAGACTGGAGAATATATAACAGAGAGAATTTTTTTTTATTTTTTTTTGTAGAATTGAACTTTATTAAATAAAACCTGAAAAGTTTTAGGCCCCAATTTCTTTGATTTGGGTTTTTTTTTTTTTGAAGTTTCTCATTAACTGAAACTAAAATATTTTGATTTATTTTCCAAAGGAAATGCATTTACAGTTGTGAAATGGGCCTTAAAAATAAATAAACAAATAACTAGCACAGCTCCACTCTTAAGTTCCAGAACCACGTTCAGAGTTCCTCCCCTGCTTTTTCTTTGCTGTGGGAAGACAATAATTTATATCAGCTGTTTTTCTTGGAATATTCTTTTTCCCAACACAACTTATGAATCGAAATTGGTAGATTTGGGGCTCTATTGTCCTCTGTCTTTCCCCGCTAACTGATAGTAGGATTTAGTGGATGGAAAATGATAACTTTCCCCTCAGTGACCAGAGTGCAAATTTGGAGCAGGGCTAGCGGAGAAAAGGAATAAATCTTACAGAATAAGGGCAGAGTTAGAATTGCCCCAGTCTGCCTGAGGAGATGCTGCCCTGTGCAGACTGCAAAGGGAGCTAGGAGTAACTTTTCTTCGGTGCAAAGTTGTTACTTATTCAGGACAGAAAAAAGTGCTTAGAATCGAATTGCGGGATTATTGGGATATGTTAATGTTACTTTAAAACAAGAGAACCTTCTATATCCTCAATGCAATTTTTGGTTGTTAAATAGTCACGTAGTGAGGAAATGGATGATTAGTTTTGCAATAATTATTTTTGAACAGTATATCTATCTTAGTCCTTCTTTCTCTACTTTTGTCCCTAAATGTGAATCCTTAGATTTTAGATTCTTCATACCTAACTGGTACTCTTTTAGCTTGGTCCCTGACAGCTGTTGTTTTGGGGAAGGTTGGGGAGGACAAACACAGCTTCACCTTAAACATAGCACAGTTTTTCTGTTTTTAAATGAATGTAGTTTGTGTAGTAGCTGATTAAAGAGAATAGGAACAAGATGAATGAACTGGGAGATTAAAAAATTCTAATATGATGGGGGGGTTCTGCTTTTTTAACAACTTTGTGATTTCATCAGTTTTTGAAGGACATGCAGGTATGCTTTTGTCTTCCACGGTTCATTGTATGCATGAAGAAAAAAAATTCTGACCCAAAAACTTTAACATAAGTCTTTCAATGTGGTGATGCATTCTACTTCATATATGGCTTTTGCAGAGGGCAGAATAGAGGGCACACATCTGCAGTGTGCCTGAATTTCTTTTCCCTCACCCAAACTTTGCTTTTTTTTTTTTTCTCATTTATAAATTTCCAGATAAATCTGGTGTCCTGATTGTGAAGATCTTAGAAGTGTTTGAGGAGTGTACAATGCAAGTTGCCATCTGCCAGCAGCTGGAACAGTCTCCTGCTGCAATTGCCTCCAAAGATGTTGTCACCAGTACAGTAGAACCAATACTCAAAGTCCTCTTTGCAAGAGAGACAGCAGCTCACCTGAAGAGTGGGCCACAGGATATCATCCACATCTATCCTCCATGGTAAGTAGAGAGAACTGGTCATACTTGCTGTAGTACTGTAGAACAAGGGCATTTTGTTAGAATACTTGTTGTGGTGTTGCAGAAACGACCTTGGAGGGGGGAAAAAAAGCAGGGCTCTCTTATGGTGATCTGTCTCTGGCAGCTTGGGAGACTTTGACAGGTATCTTGACGATAATTTGGATAACAACTAAACGTATAGCATAATGCCTCTAGTGCTGCTCAGGGCTTCAGTGTTGTTTTCACTTAATATTTGCATGTTTAGAGTGATAGAATGGCATGAGCGATGTCTTATCAATGATAAGGCCAATAAAGTGCATACTTTCTGGTAGCAAAGTAGTTCAGGAATGCTCATCTGTTGTCTCTAGTTTGGGTGTAATGTTTCAGAGGAAAAGTCTATATTAACTGTATAGCATTCAGCAAAGATAATGTGCAGCTTAACAACAGGAAAAAAGAAGAAATGAGAGATCCACACTACTCTTAAGGAATTAGTAAACGCATTTTGGATGATTCCACCATTGCTGTTGCTGTCCTCAGTTCCCCAAATCCTTCTTCAGGGCACCTTGTTGAACCTTTTCTGGAATTGTTCAAAATGTTTGGTCTAGATTTGTGATTTTTCTGGATTGGATTACTTTCCTGATCTTAAGGGGTAGCATAAAGTGATGAGATTTCTGGTAAAGCAGCTGGCAGTTGGTGTAGCTGTAAGTGGGGGAGTTTGGTCATTATAAAAATTCAGGAACACTTTGAAGCAGGGCTGTTACTCCTCTTTTCTTTCTTCCTCACCCAAATCATAAGACAGAGAGTTTTCTTTTAATATTTTTCAGTGCTCCATTATCTGAGTTTTAGCCTGCAACTGCAGTAGAAACCTACCTCTAAATTTTTTACTGTATCCTTTTGCAAAATACTTTTTCTCATTTTGAAAGATCCGTATCTATTTTTTTTTCTGTCTTGATTGATAGCTGCAAGTCTTTTCTGTGTTCTGCAGTTTGTGATCTCTCCCTTTTTATTTAACTGTTTTTGGAGGTGATTTAAAAATTAAGGGAAGATTCTTAATCTGTGGTTTATTGTGGCTACAGATGCAACTAAAGATAATTCAAATTAAAATAGGTCAGTAGCTAAGAGAAATACAGCTGAATATTAATGAAGTCTGATATGAATTAAGTCATGGGGTTTTTTTCTTTTCTTCCTCCAAGTGCTTATGTTTGCTCTCTTCTTTCTTTTCTCTTTCAATGATGTTTTTCCATGCTTTATATTTGATCTTTTATTTCCATTTTCTTTTTGTTTCTCCCTCTTACTAACTTCCATCCCAGTTCCATTTTGATCTTCAGGTTTCCTGTGCTGTTTCTAAACCACTAGGCATTGCTTTTATAGCACTGTAGCTTTCTGCGTAAGGCTTGGCCTGCACAAAAATTTCTGTACCAGCAAAGCTGATAGTTAGCGTACAGTTTAAAAGTTGTAAGAGTTTTCTGGACGTAAATGTTACACACACACACAGAAATATTTTAAGAAATCTTCATAGCTGAAGTAGTAGGATGCATTTTTCATGTAAGCAAAGAGTTATTTCATAAAACCAGAATGTTTCTGCATGGAACATGTCCGAGCTGTTAGTGTTGCTCTCTTGATCTGTGCGGTTCTAAAGGCTGCTTTGTGAAGACATTAGTGAATAACGGCAATGTTTCATTATCTGTTATCTCTAGTCCCGTTTTCTATCATTTTGGAATTATCTTGATACCAATCGTCTCTTTGCTCACTTGACCAAAAGTCAAATGAAGTTGGGCTGGATATTGTTAAAATAAAGCTTTTGGGGGTTTTTGTTTATTTGATTTTAGATTATTATTTGGTACTTTTCATTTATAATAATTAGAAATTTGACTTGTATACTTAGTGGAAGTTTCCTCTATTGAATTTCCAAGATTCTATTCTATTAAATGCTTACTTGAGAGCTCTGAATTGCTGAAATGTAATTTATATTACTCTGTATTGAATTTGTGCTTCTGTCATTAAAAACAAATCTAACCTTAACATAGAAGGCTATGAGTACAATCAGTGGAGCTATGAAAAGACTAATTTGGTTGTGTCTTATAATAAAAAGTATTGTGCTGTATTTCAATATGCACATCTGGTAAATTGGAAAAATAATGTAAATATGTATTTTTCAAACATAGACAATACTTCTTAAAATGAAGGGGGAATATTGAAGTTATTTAATTTTGTCTGTAACAATGCACCTGTCCCTTATAAGAAATTCTTGAAACCATACTAGAGTTACTATTTGAATTGCTACAGTCACCTCTGCAATACTAGTAAGGAATTCCAAAAAAGCAGCTTTCTGACTCAGCATTTGTTAGAAGGTAGGCGACTATCAAGTGTATGGACATTGACCCAAGTACATTTGTGTCTTTTGTGTTTGTAGTTTTTTTGTTTTTAAGGCAGAATTGTTATAATAAAGGAAAGCTGTGGCTTGTAGGGGAAGGTGGTAGGTTCTTTATAAGCACCCCCTGCCCTGCCCCTGCCCCGTTTCAAATAGTGAGTAGGTCAAAGAGGTGTCTGTAAACATCAAAAGCTATTTAAATAGAACTTCTGGCTAAATAAGCACTTTTACATATCTTATGTATACCATCAATCAGAAAGAAAGGGGAACAAAAAAGTAGTAGAGGCAAGAGCAGATATTTAATGCTTAAATCGTCCAAGCGTACTTGGGTGGACATCATCATTGTCTATTTAGAGACACTTGTGGAGTAAGGCAGAATGGGGTGAGATGGGGTAAGTTAAAGGTGGACTGCCTCTCCTGCTGTGAACTAATGTCCGTAGGGTAGAATTTTTGGATATCTTCAAAATTACACTCTAGAATTATGTTCTGTTGGTATGTGCTTTGGGCTTTCTGACCAGGCTGTTGAGCAAGCAAGAAAGGTAGCAGATATGCAGGTTGCTGACTTCGGTATGTGACAGCATTAATGAGCAAGGTTTGAGTGCATCATTTTGGAGCCTTTGTAATATTAGACTCTGCTTTAGAAATTGCATTTGTATGTGTTGTGAACTCAGTGCGTAACTGGGTGTGTGAACAGTCTCTCGCAGAATACGTGCATAAATACTTTCGGAAGCAATGTTTGGAAATTTGTTCCTATGTTTTACATACAGAATCTTCTGCTACTTCAGCATTTGAACACAATATTAATTTACTTAAAAAAAAAAAAAAATTGAAGTGTCAGGAAGCCAGTTATAAGAGTCTTATCAGCATGGACATTTCTCCTGAGACTGGTCCCATTGACTTCAGGTGAGCTTGGATGTTTGGATAAGAATATGCTGGACTGAGCCTTATAGTTGAATACATTTTTCTTCAGATCAGTGTTTAATGTCCAAGGTACATATTTACATTCTTGAATGAAAGGGATTTCAATTTCCTTGGCTATAGGGAAAACGACCTGGATAGGCTGATTAACGTTTTCAAACCATCTTATCTGGTGGAAGAAAGACCTCAGCTGTCTACTGCAAGCCCGCTCTGATCTTGAATCTGTATAGATGTGTTATTGCAGCGGTGTACCTAAATAAAGCCTATTAGCTTGGACACATCATGCTAAAATGGTTGCATGTTTTGGGCTGGAGCTGGCTTGTGTCTGGCCAGGTTGGAAGCCAGGAGGCCGAAGAACTCAGCACAGCCTGCTCCTGCCTGTACAGGCTTGCTTTTTGTTGTCTCTGCAATACCTGAGCAGTTTCTTGGCTTAAGATCTTAAATGAACACCTAGTAACTTTTACAAACTTCTTCTGGATCATTAAATGTTTTTAACAGCTAGAAAAGGAAAGGCTTATTATTGGGTGTAATTAAATCGTTTGCTAACTTTAATCACTTTGCACAAGTATGTATCCAACAAAAAATGAAGACTGCTTGCTAATTCCAAGACATGTGAGAGAATGAGAACAATGGTCTTTATATTCCACTGGAGGTCATTCTACAGCTTCAACTTACCCGTTGTTTTTGTTTGTTTGTTTAATTGTAAAAATGGTAGCATATAATTTACTATACCTAACAGAGACTGATAAGAGTTGATATTTTAAAGACTTTAGGATTCATTTAAGAGCTGATAGTAGGGCTTGAGGATAGACAGGATCTTTCAAAAGATATTCCTGCCTTCTGCCCTCAGATATGCCTGATGTAGAATATTGAACATAAATTAACCTGAAGAGAATGGTGGAGACTAAAATTCTTTTCCCTTGCCACTCAACTTAGCAACTTCAAAGCATTTTAGGAGTAGTTCTTCAGTTAAACGACTTAAAGTACGTTGGTATTCATACAGTTACTGGCAATAGCCATACAAACTGCAGATCACGATTTGGGAATTATTGGTTTGGACAGGCTCATAGGTCCATCTGTAGCTATTAAACATGATTGTCTGGTATGAAGTCTGTCTTTCAGAAGGTTCCCAAGCTCCTCATAGCTGAAGGGCTAGGACAGTAGAAAAAACACTTTATTTATATTCTTTTTTTATATTACCTGCAGACATAGTGGCCATTGAGCACTGTAGAAGACGGGAGTCTCGGCTGGATAGCCACTGTTAGTGCAACTTCTCTATGTAAAAAATGTTAATTTTAGGAATGCAGTATAGTTAGTTAACAGTTAACTCTGTGACATCAGCAAGCAACTGGAAAGCTGTGCTTTAGTTTCTCATACCTGTGAAACAGTGGGAATCATAATAACTTAGCTTTGGAAGTTTTCTAGTGCCTGGTGAAAGTGTTTCATGTGGGCTTCTCAATTTATACTTGTCTTGCACCAGATTCAGTCTCTCCTCAGTGAAAGGTTAAAATGATTTCAAATTATTGTACTTTTACTGCCAAGTAAGAGTACACACAAAGCATTACTACAGCTTGCTGGTGTGTAGTAATGAAACCTTGTGTCATAAGTCCTTTAAGGCAGACGTTTTTGGTGTAAAAATACCCAAGCAAGCTCTAAACAAGCTTATTTATGTGTAGGAAGAAATCTAGCTTTGTGGACTTAAGTACTCATTTGC